CATTCCCTGGGTACGTCCAATGTATACATGAGGTATACATGTTGATAAATTACTGTTTGCTTTTCTCTTGCTAATCTTTTTGCTACTGGAGTCTGTCCCAATAAGAACTATGAAGGGTAGAAGGAAAATTATTTTTCCTGCCCCATAGCAACAATGGCATGCTGTTTGCTGTCTAAAACTCCGCCCAACAATTACAGAATTAAACCTTTCTTTGCCTCTACTTCATAAAACAAGGTAGGCTAGCATTTCTGAATATAATTTATAATATCAAGCAATAAAAAAGGAAATTAAAAATAAAAGCAAATTCAAGTGACATACAAGATAAGTGGAAAAATACACATATCTACTTCAACAATGACTGACAAGCTTATCACATTCATAGACCTTGTTGTGCCCATATTTATTTTTCTTTGACTAGTCTCTCATTCTGAATAACTCTAACGAAGCCTTCTCAATTACCAACTATACTACTTCACTGAAGGGTTACACTGATGGGAACTAACTTGTTCCCTCAATTTACCGATCTTCTGTTTATAGCCTCCTAAGAAAATAAGAAGGTATTTTCCTCTCTCTCAGAAAGCCCCATTCAGTTTCCTACACAGGTTTTGAGCGATACTTGCCTGACAGGACTGTAACCATTTGAAATACCACCAACTTCCTAAGCTGTAGTATATTGTCCATAATATATATAATATTATGCAGAACCATGCAAGGAAGATTACATATATATAATAATAGCAAGATTTGTCTGCTAAAAACTTTTCTCCATAAGTGAGAAATTACATTCAGAATTTTTCTTTTGTTATTTATAAACTTAAAATATGTTCTCAGGAAAAAAAAAAAGTAGTAATTTCCTAGGCTGTAATTTTCTGAAGAAAGCAGTCACTTAGCATTTACAATCAGGAAGAAAAATTACATCTACTATTGAATAGTGATAATGAATGTATTACATTTTTATTAAATGTGTTCCATAAAAATATTTTTAAGGGAGTCTATAGTAATGCAGAAAACTCTATGAACTGCATCAGTTAAGTTTTAAAAATTGGGACATTTCCATCATTGCCTCTAAGAAGTATGTGATATTATGTAAGTCTAGTTTTGCTTCTATGGAAATACATAAAATAAGCAAAATTTTGGTTCCAATGCATCACCAGGAAGGGTAAATGTTCACCTTAGTATCTTACTTATGTAATTGACAAATAAAAATAAAAGCAAACAAAAACAAAGTGGAGAAAGGACACCCTATTCAATAAATGGTCCTGGGATAAATGGCAAGCCACATGCAGAACAATGAGGCTGGATCTTCATCTCTTACCTTACATAAAAACCAAATCAAGATGGATCAAAGACTTAAATCTAAGATCTAAAACCATAAGAATTCTAAAAGATAACATCAGAAAAACTCTTCTCGACATTGGCTTAGGCAAAGAGTTCATGACCAAGAACTCAAAAGCAAATGCAACAAAAATAAAGACAAATAGATGAGACCTAATTAAACTAAAAAGCTTCCTTAAAGCAAAAGAAATAATCAGCAGAGGTAAAGGACAACCCACAGAGCAGGAGAAAATATTTGCAAACTATGTATCTGACAAAGACTAATATCCATAATCTACAGGGAACTCAAATCAGCAAGAAAAAAACAAATAATCCCATCAAAAAAGTGGGCAAAGGACATGAATAGAGAATTCTCAAAAGATCTACAAACTGCCAACAAATATATAAAAAATGCTCAACATCACTAATTATCAGGGAAATGCAAATCAAAACCACAATGCGATATCACCTTACTCCTGCAAGAATGGCCATAATTAAAAAATCAAACAATCATAGATGTTGGTGTGGATGTGATGAAAGGCTAACACTTTTACACAGCTGGTGGGAACATAAAGTAATACCACCACCATAGATAACAGTATGGAGATTCCTTAAAGAAATAAAAGTAGAGCTACTATTTGATCCATCAATCCCACTACTGGGTATACTGGGCAACTATCTACCCAGAGGAAAAGAAGTCATTTATAGCAGCACAATTTGCAATTGCAAAAAAATATGGAGCCAATCCAAATTCCCATCAACTAATAAGTGGATAAAGAAATTGTGGGAGATATATACATATGCCCACACACACACACACACACACACACACACACACACACACACACACGCACCCCATAGAATACTACTCAGCAATAAAAAGAAACAAAATAATGGCATTTGCAGCAGCCTGGGTGGAGCTGGAGACCAGTGTCCGAAGTGAAGTAACTCAGGAATGGAAAACCAAACATCATATGTGTTCTCACATAACTGGTGGCTAAGCTCTGAGGACCAGCAACATAAGAATGATATAATGGACTCTGGGAACTCGGTGGGGAAGGGTGGGAGGATAGAGAGGGATAGAAGACTACACATATAGTACAGTGTACACTGCTTGGGTGATGGGTGCACCAAAATCTTAGAAATCACCACTAAATAACTTCCCCATGCAACCAAACACCACCTGTTCCACCAAAACTACTGAAATAAAAATAAAAATTAAATAAAATCAGAATCCTCCAACCTACTGAACAGACCCTTTCATGGCCAAGCAGACCTCAGAGAAATCTAAAAAACTGAGATCCCATCTATGATGAGGAGAGGAGAGGCTGGACACACCTCATTATACCTCCTCCATCATTACCATAAGGCTTTCTTCCCTAAGGGTTAAACAGAAACCAGCCATTCTTAAAGACTCACACAAGGAAAATGTGGCACATACACACCATGGAATACTATGCAGCCATAAAAAACGATGAGTTCATGTCCTTTGTAGGGACATGGATGAATCTGGAAACCATCATTCTCAGCAAACTGACACAAGAACAGAAAATCAGACACCACATGCTCTCACTCATAGGTGGGTGTTGAATACTGAGAACACGTGGACACAGAGAGGGGAACATCACACACTGTGGTCTGTTGGGGGGACTGGGGAGGGACAGTGGTGGGTAGGGAGGTTGGGGAAGGATAACATGGGAGAAATGCCAGATATAGGTGATGGGGGATGGAGGCAGCAAACCACATTGCCATGTAGGTACCTATGCAACAAACCTGCATGTTCTGCACATGTACCCCAGAACCTTAAGTACAATATATATATATTGTACTATATATATATATATATATATATAGTAATTATAATTTCGTATCAATGAGAGACTGTTTTGCCAAAGCAAATGAATTTAAATTCCCTCTTAAAATCTCTTGAATGCCCTTATGTTCCTGGCTGTAGCCTTTACCGTAGTGTGCTATTAGACAAGTCTTTCACACTCTGTTTTCTCATCTGTAAAATACTGATTACAGTATCTATCACATATAGTCATGGATATTTTACTTGGGACAATTTAGAAATCCCTTATACTTAGTAAAAGTTTAATAAAAGATTTTTTTCCTTTAAAAAAAAAAAAAGACTCACTCCATGACTGATATTAACTAACTGCCTGATGCTGCCCCTCCCTTTCTGTGGTTTAGATATAACAAGGAACCAACATTCCTTCCTACTAAGAGGCCACCAAACACAGAGCAGTTCTGGCTACTCGAAAGTATGCTCAGCAAGGGTTTCTATGTCCTCTGCTTCACCTTTTACATCAGAGGGCTGAAAACTCCACCCTTGGATTGTGCTAACATGGCCATTTTTTGTACACGGGTCCCATGCTGAGGTTGAAGCTCAATTGTGCATGTGCTTGTTTCTGCTTTCATAAATGTCGTGACTCCTGTAGCTTATTTAATATGTATCTTTTACAACTTCATTCAGCATAAATCCCTGTCATTCTTACCATCCTCAAAGTGCCTGTCTTGGTCAAAGGCTATGTTTACCAGCCTGCAGAAAGGCCACCTTGAAAACTATAACTCTTCATAAAAAATGAACTCTCAGCTAGGGGGCGGTGGCTCAGGCCTGTAATCCCAGCACTTTGGGAGGCTGAGGCAGGTGGATCACCTGAGGTCAGGAGTTCAAGACCAGCCTGGCCAACATGTGAAACCCCATCTCTACTAAAAATACAAAAATTAGCCGGGTGTGGTGGCATGCGCCTGATATCCCAGCTAGTCAGAAGGCTGAGGCAGGAGAATCCTTTGGACCCAGGAGGTGGAGATTGCAGTGAGCCAGGATCATGCCAAGGCAACTCCAGCCTGGGTAACAAGAGTGAAACTATGTCTCCAAAAAAGAAAAAAAAAGTCTCCTCTACCTTTTTCTAAATTTATATATTGTGTGTTTTTTTTATGTTAACATATTTAACAATACTTTTAAAACAATCTAAGATATTTTACTTTTGCATAGCTTAGCAATGTATTAATATATTCAATTTTATTTTTTAGATTTACAGACATTTTATAATATTTTAATAATAAAAGAATACAATTCATTTAAAATTCTTGGTGTAAATATTAAAATGACCTTCAAATTTAGATTTAACACTGCATTGCTTCTAACCAAAGAAATTGGAGAGAAAGTAAGATGTGAAATGTGGAGAAACTCAAAAATACCTGCCGTTAAAGATAAATGTCAAGGAAACTTGAACTTTTCTACATAACAATAACAGAATGACTTTTAAAGTTTCCTCTGGAATCTCCCTCACACATTAACTTTATGGTCCTAAATTGATGTGCTTTAAAATGGTCAAGGGATGAAGCAAAGAACAGAAGTTTTGTTCATAGCTTCTCATGCAGCCTTCAACTGCTATAACTTCCTAAGGACAGATTGTGGATAAGGAAAACCTGTAACTCCTCAAACCAGTTCTGGCATTTGCACATCATGAATCAAAATGAATTTTGAGGAGTAAACACATTCTTTACAAAGAGCTGAAAAGCAACTATGTGAGAAGAGAGAGCTTTTTCCTTGACTGTTATCACAGACAAATAGCCTTCATAATGCAAGATTTTATACATTTACTTATTTTTAAAATTTAGAATAAAAAGACCAAAATGATTGGAAACAGAACTCATAAATCCAAAATGTCTAGACTTACTGGTACATGCCATAGAAGGTGGGTCTTTTTCAGCTCGGAAATAACCCTTTTCACACTGACAGACAGACGTTGCTTCCATGTATGTTAAACTATGTGGAGGGCATTTAGAACACTTTGTGTTCCCAGCAAAAGCTTTATAGAATCCTGGTCTGCAAGCTGTAAAAAAAGAAAGAAAAAAACATTTTTTAGTTGTTATTGCTAGAATTCTTTTATTTGTACATGTATAACATACTTTAATTAATACACACATTAGATCACAGAGAAGTGTTATACATACATAAAGAAGTCATATATGTTAATAGTAACAAATGAAATTAGTGACTGAGAGTTAATAAAACCCAGTAGGCCATCATATTTTAGCTGAGGCTGCTAATTTGTAAAATCATACCTCAAGCATACACACACACACACACACACACGCACACGCACACACACACACACACCGGCACACGCACACAAAATATCAGTGCTTACTTAAGTTACCTACGAATGGGGATGCCCACAACTGACAGTAAGAGAAATAGTTTTGTGTTGTTCTCGGAGATAGCATTAAATAACATTAAGTCACACTGTTCAAAATGTATTTACATTCTGTTTTCTCTTCAGTTCTTGTGAGTGCTCAAGAAGAAAATTCTAATTTGGTGAAAGTGTGTCTTTAACACCTTTGTTAGTGGCTAAATTTTGTTTTATATATGCTGTAACTCTATTTTATTAATAGTTTATGTTCGCCTTTATAATAAGATTTTTATAAATGATCTAGTAATTCAAAAAGAGCAATATTATCAATTCTGCACGGTAAAATTATTATCAAGAGGTTGGCTATTCAATATCAATATCAACCGGAAGTGGTGGTACACAAATATACAACAATGGTCTCTTCAATAACTTGTTGATAAATAAATAGTATATAGTTAATCAAAAAAAGACTACCATTAAAATATTTTTCTAAAATTTAGGAAATTGGAGTATATAAATAAAATATGGGAAACACCACTAACATTTTCAAAATTGAAATATTGTTTAAAAATCTTTAATTACTAAATGTGGCCTTATGACAGCAGTTACAACACAACGTATCATAAAATATTCAATAAATCTATCTTATACAGTTTTCTAATACAATAATTGTTTTCTACTAAGATATGCAGTTTGAAATAACTGAATATATTCAACAGGGTAGGTCTATTAATAATTTGCCAAATAATTTAAAAAGTTGGACCTGAAATTTAAAGAATACCTTTAATCTGTAACCATATTTAAAAACAGAATATATTCGTTAATGAACAGAGAACATACAAATCTAAATGGGGAGCTTACATTCTAAATATTGCAATGGTATTTAAAATATTTTAAGATAAAGTAATATTTAAAATATTAATATAAAGTAATATTTAAAATATTACTTAAAAGGCTTTTTATGTTATTTTGTGGAATAAGACTATTTTACATTAATTAGAAACACGTATGCCATAGAACCACAATATAAAAAATATTTATTACATGTGCATATATAGGACCTATAAGACACACAAAGAAGAGTTACAAGCATATTGTTTTCTTCTTTTAATCAGCCATTCAAATTTCAGTCAAAGACACTGTTCAGAATATAAAGTAGCTTTGCTTGTAACTTAATTTTGTGCAGCCAGGCATTGTTACCTTTATTTACTTTCTTTGGTAGCTAAAACAAGAATTTAAATAATTTCCCATCTGAAGTGTTTTCTGTTAATTTGCCACTTCTTAGAGTCTTTTCAGAATGCTCAGAACACCTCCTAAGATATTTAGAAGAGGCTAGTGATATTCAACTGTTCTTGATAACAGTCTAATAACTAGCCTCTCAGCAACTATTCTTGCCCACTTTAATCCATTCTTCAGACAGAGTGATCTTCTAAACATACTGTATCTAACAGCCGTATAAAGTGAGACATATATACATAACTTTAAATTTTGTAGTAGTCACATTAAAATCCTAAAAAGAAACAGGTGATATTATATTTTAATAACATATTTTATTTAACCCAATATATCCAAAATATTATTTCAACATAAAATGAACCATTGAAATATTTTACATTTTTTGAAGTTTTAAAATTTTTTTGTTGAAGTATTTGAAATCCTGTATGTACTTTACACTTACGGCAGGTCTCAATTCAAACTAACTGCATTTCAAGTGCCCAACAACCTCACATGGCTAGTGAATACATGGTGGATAGCACAATTGTAAACACAGAAATCTATTCATTACATTCTCTATTTCAAAAATTTGGATAATTTCCCACATATTAATGTTAAAGTTGCCCATGATTTGGCTCTGCCTACCTCTCCAACCACATCAGATGAAGATACTCCCTTCCTGCACCTTCTTGGTTAAGGCTTTGCCCTTCTGCAGTCTATGCTCAACCCAGTAGCTGATGATCTCCTGAAAACATGTATGATACTGTGTTATGTACAACTGGACTTAGAACCTTCCAATGGCTTTCTCTTCCTGGAAGAGTAAAGGTTGTTGCCTTGTTAACTGCCTCCCAAGCACTGCATGGTTTTGCTCCCCACCCGCTGTGACCTTGCTTTTCATTTCCTACATTTTATTTCCTTTAGATACTTTGATCTAGCAACACTGGCCTTTTTCAGAATCTTGGACATCCAAAGCTTGTTCCCACAACAGGGCTTTTTTTAACATTTGCTCTTACTCGGCTATCTACATGGTTTGGTACTTCCCTTATATCAGGTCTTTGCTCAAATGTCACCAAATTAATGAAGCCTTCCTTGATTCCTTGTTTAAAATTTCGACTCCTGCTACACCCCACTGCAATACTCCATATTACGCTCCCTCTCCAGAGAACTTCAAATCTGATACATGACGCATTTCATTTTTAAATCATTCCACAGTAAAATGTATCCTCCAAAAAGGCAGATATTTTTCTTCGTTTTGTTTTCTAAAATGCATTTCCAGGGTCTAGAAGAGTGCTAGCCATTATTAGACCCTCAATGAGGCATATTTGGCAAATAAATGAATGACTGCCAAAGATGTCCTTTAATTTCCATAGTTTTACTATGCTGTTTTTCCTGCTTTGAGTTTTTCTCTATTGAAAAATCTCTTCACTGTATCTCTACCCCATGATCCACCCGCATGTTGCCCGTTCCTCATAACCTCCATGGCTGTGATTCACTTATCTTTTAGCTCACTGTTCTTTAAGAGGGCCATTCTGACTTTTTAGACCAAATTTAGTTTCTCAAAGGACCTGGGCCTTTTCCACATTAGTTAGCCCTTGGTAATTACCTGTTTAAAGGCTGTAAGCACCACAAGAGCATTTTTGCCCAGTGCTTAGTGCTTGTCATAACGTAGGTGCTCAATACATACTCATTTAATTGAACTGGATTGTGTGTGAGTACTCTTCTAATTGAATTTCTGCAAAATATTATGCATGTCTACTTAATGCATGGTCTTATAATAGCACAATTTATCTTTCTATAGATTTCTATGTTTTCTGCTTAACGTATTATAGGTAAGGAGTGAAAACAGTAAAAATGTTCAAAGTGATTTAACTGTGCCTGAAAATGATTGTTCTAATATTGCAAGATGACCTAGCTATTAACAACATTCCATTTGAAATTATTATTAGAGTGAACTTGGATTTTCCTTCTAATGCAAAAAAAAAATACAAATAAAAATTGGATAAAGGGGCTGCAACTTTCAACTCTATCCCTGATTTCAAAGGTTTTTTATACATCAACTTGCCTTTGAAATACTTAAAATTTTGAACTCTTAAAATATATTTGGATTATTTAAATATTTCTGTTTTGATATTAACATTTAGTATAATATTTCATTTAAAAATAAATAATTCTGTTGTCTGAAAATTATTGTTGAGGCACTCACATTCTCTTATATAGCACACATTAACAGTATACAGCGTATATCTTTCACTTAGATCATATCACATTAGATTACAACTATTTTATCACATGTTATCTCAGCTTTTTGTAACTGCCACAAGCCAGAGATGGGGGTTAATATTCTAGTATCCACAATGTCTAGCATATTTCAGACATATATTTATTTATTTTGTTGTTGAGAGGGAGTCTGACTCTGTCACCCAAGCTGGAGTGCAGTGGCACAATCTCGGCTCACTACATCCTCTGCTCCCCACTTCAAGTGATTCTCCTGCCTCAGCCTCCCGAGTAGGTGGGCTTACAGGCATCCACCACCATGCCCTGCTATCTTTTGTATTTCAGTAGAAACAGGGTTTCACCACATTGGCCGGGCTAGTCTCAAACTCCTAATCTCAAGTGATCCACCTGCCTCAGCCTCCCAAAGTGCCGGATTATAGGTGTGAGCCAGCGCACCTGGTCTTTAGTTTTTATAAACAATGAAAAAATGGAATGAAGGTAAATAAATGGTGAATGCTAATAACTAATATGACATAACATAACAAGAGCTCTGTAATTGAAGAAGTATTCTGTGTATCTATTTAGTTAGTGGTCTTAGGTTTTGTTAGAATTAGGTTATAAATGGGATATCAGTACCTATGTCTTGAGAACTTTTAAATTTCTTTCTCATATATTCCTTCCTTCTCTACCATTTCCTTATTTTTTTATTTATATAATAGGATCTATAAACTTCTTGCTTTCAAGAAACAAACCATGTTGGAAAGTTATAGGTTATCTAACGAAGTGGTTTCTATTATTCTTTCTTTAGAAAAATGTGTTGGGGTACAGACCGTTAGTTTAAACTTGCATTACCTGTTTTTTTCTTTTTTTCTTGAGATGGAATCTTGCTCTGTCACCAAGCTAAAGTGCAGTGGCACGATCTCAGCTCACTGCAACCTCTGACTCCCTGGTTCAAGCAATTTTCCTGCCTCACCTCCTGAGTAGCTGGAATTACAGGCATGCGCCACCACACCTAGCTAATTTTTTGTATTTTTAGTAGAGACGAGGTTTCATCATGTTGGCCAAGATAGTCTCAATCTCCTGACCTCATGATCTGCCTGTCTTGGCCTCCCAAAGTGCTGGAATTACAGGTGTGAACCACTGTACCCAGCTTGCATTACCTTTTTAATTTCTACTTTTAACTTTTCTTCCATAATAATACAGATTTATCATTTAAATCTACATCTCTTGGAATAGTGCATTCATCTCAGTTCTGCCTGTCTCTGCTTTCT